AACTTGGCTTTCTCATTGACTTTGCTCGTCAGACGGTTGCAAAAAGGGGATTGTATGACACTGGGACACTGTAACTGTCATAAATACGAGTCAGTTGCCCAGCGTCAACTTTTGATGTCTGAATTTTGATCACGTGACCATGGAGATGCTCCAATTCTTGTGTGAAAAACTGTCAAAAGTCATTTTTTTCAGTGCCGTTGTAACTTCCAATGGTCACTAAATGAAGCTGTAAGGATTATCTGTAATTCTTCCCTACATCAAAAAACCCTAGCTTTTGATTATACTACCTGAGACTTCTCAGGAAACAACAACTGAATGAAAAACTGCTGGTAACCTTCTACCGCTGCACCATAGGGAGTATCTTAACTTACTGCACCTGTGTATGGTTTGCCAATTGCACAGTGGCATATAGGGCAGCACTCCAGAGGGTTAACGTCATTGCCCAGAAGATCATTGGTTGCCCTCTCCCCTCTTTGGAAGAGCTTTATAGCTCCCGCTGCCTTAAGAAAGTTCAAAGCATTCTCAAAGATCCATCTCATCCTGGGCACCCTTTTTTTGGAACTATTACCATCTGGCAGACGGTACAGGATAATAAAACCAAGCACAAATATGCTGAAGAAAAAAGCTTCTATCCCAGGGCAGTAGCTCTTTTGAATTCTACTGTTTAGTGCAGTGTTGGTGTGGTGTTGGGAATTTTCAGTTCAATGTGTGGAGTGTGAAGGATGTGTGTTTGTGTTCATTTTCATGGTCATGGTCATGATGTGTATTGAAGATGGTGTTTGATTTCGTTGTATGAGGTGCAATGACAATAAACTAAACTAAACTAAATTAAAGAGAAGTGTTAAGGGGGAAAATCAAATAAGGAGAAATTTTTGAAAATTTCTTTTGATGATGAGCATTCTGCCAGTGCCCCTTCCTCTGATAAGTTTCTTTATCTTCCATACTACAGATCCAATTTCCACCCTAAATTGCATTTGTTGGAATAGTGTGATTGCTGGTGCATGGAATTCTAGAAGGGGAAGGATCTATTAAGGCTACTGAGTGAGAAATTCCAATTAAAGCAATTTAACTTGGATAGATGGTTTCTAATAACACTCTCCCAGGAGAACCTCTGAAAGGCAGATTGCTTCTCTAACTAATTTTAGTGTAAAAGTATTTTTTTTTTCAAATATTCACTCAGAATTGGCCTTAAACATTTTTCTTTGAATCAATCTTGACTTCTACCAACATGGCATCCAGTTTTGATTGCCACAGTATAAAAAAGGATATTGAGACTATGAAAGAATGCAGAGAAGAGCAACAAAGATGATTAGGAGACTGGGAGCTCACACATGAAGAACGGTAGCAGGAATTTGATTTATTTAGTTTAACGAAAAGAAGGATTAGGGGTGACATGATAGCAGCCTCCCAGTATTTGAGGGGCTGCCAGAAAGAAGAGAGTCAATCTATTCTTCAAAGCCCCTGAAGGCAAGATAAGAAGCAATGGAGGGAAACAACAACTATCTGCATAGGAAGTATTTTTGTTAATTCAGGTAATAATATCCTACCAAGAGGAAACAGTTTTAGGAGATTATACAAATGTGTATTCAAATGAAACACTAATCCCATTACATCCCTAGCCCCCTGATAATTTACTCGAACATTTTCTATATAGCTACAATGGAAACCCATCATCCTAAAATATGTTGCTTTGTTATTCAAGGCAGAATCTAAGATCAGTTGAAGTCTTTGACACTGATGTTAACACCTATTCCTATTGTCTAGACTAAATAAGAATCTCTAATTCTTTACTCCATTCAGCCATTAACATTTGCATATCAAATGGATCCATCACCAGTAGAATTTAATAAAGATTAATTGTAGGTTTTTTTGTGTTACAGTCCTATCTGAGGCACAGGGAAAAGGACCTGCTATGTTGATGAAAATATTTTAAGACTCCAGACAACAAAAGAGAAACTAGGTATGGGGGAACAGTAAAATTTGCCCATAATCTGCTCAATAGGTTAGCGGATTTGCGGAATGTATTTATTTTATTATAGCAATAGCACTTAGATTTATATACCCCTTCATGGTGTTTTACAGCCCTCTCTAAGCAGTTTACAGAGTCAGCATATTGCCCCCAACAATCTGGGTCCTTGATTTATGTGGTGCAGTGGCCTAGGAGTGGATCTCTTGCCTCACAATCAGGAGGCTGTGAGTTCGATCCTAGGTAGAGGTAGGTATTTCTCTCTTTGGACACAATCAGATTATATCTGCTGCGAACTCCGCATTGGCAAAAAGAAGGGCATCTAGCCAGTAAACATTCAGCTCCATTCAGTTGCCCCAACTCCACTCTGATGCAAGGGATTATGGGGCCATTAAAAGACCAAAAAAAAAGAAAAGAAAGAAAGAAATCTGGGTCCTCATTTTACTGACCTTGGAAGGATGGAAGGTTGAGTCCACCTTGAGCGGTCAAGATCAAACTCCTAGCAATTTTCAAGCCAGATATGCAACAGATAGAAAACAGATATGCAGTTAAACTCACAATTAAAGGGTTAATTAAAACAAGAACCAAAATACAACACTGCATATCTAAATTTGATAGCAACCCCCAGTTAGATCTCAAACATTTCTTGGAAGGGTTATCTTCAATTTTGCTTTGTTCTGAAAAACCTCCTCTTATCCCCAGTATGGAAAATGCTTCAAGACCAAGTGCATATTTCGTGTCCCTGGCTTGGTTAAAACATGCCTCGAAATCAGAAGATGAGTTGAAAAGAAGAACTGGATTTGAAAAAGAGCAAATCCTCCGAGGCCTTTCTTCTTCTTCTTGTTTACCCTCCAGCAGATAATTTAAAGTCATCTGTGAAAAACTGAAGGTCAGCATTTCCATATAAATAGGAGTTTGAAGTGAAATCACTTTCTCTTCTGTTCATCGTTGGTTTTGTAATATAGGGCAGTAATACAGTACCGACAAAGTACTTTCGGTTTTTTCCCCCACTTCTTCTTCTATTCCAGAGTGCTGGCTAGGAATAAGTTGTCAGGATTGAGAAATACTGTTCTAGCAGTGGTGGTATTCAGCCGGTTCACACCGGATCGGGCGAACCGGTAGCAAGGATTTGGCGCGGGTCGCCGAACCAGTAGTAAGTTCTGGCTGGCTGCGCCCCTGACCGGGTCACCGTCCCGCCCGATACTCGCTTCACCCCGCTCGCCTGACGTTCACCTAAGGTATTTCTTTCTTATTTTTCCCCTCCCAACAATCAGCTGTAGATACGATCAGCTGTGCTGGGATTCCCCTTGCTGAGGCCCAGGAAGGCAAAAAATGGAGGGAGGGGCTCAGCCCCCCTCCATTTTTTACCTTCCTGAGCCTTAGAGGAGCCTTATGGGAGCAAAAACGCCCCCTCCCCCCACGAGGCTCCCCTGAGGCCAAGAAGGCCCCAAAAATGGGTGAGGGGGGTGGCTGCAAAAAAGCAAAAAAAAAAAAAAAGGCCATGCCCACCCAGTCAAATGGCCACACCCTCCAAGCCACACCCACAGAACCAGTAGTAAAAAAAATTTGAATCCCACCACTGTGCTCTAGCCATAAAGTCGATAACTTTCCCTCTTCCATCATATTGCAAAGAAACAGTTGGAGATCTTAGGAGGTAATGCCCAAGGGTTACACAGGCAGTCCTCAACTTACAACAGTTCATTTAGTGACCATTCAAAATAACACTTGGGCAGAGGGGTTGCAGTAGAAGACCCCCAAAGTCCCTTCCAGCCCTAGGATCTAATAGTCTTGTCTACTTGCTTGCCTCTCTCTCCTTCTTCCTCCCCCTCCCTCTCTCTCTCTTTTCAAGAAAAGATTGGAGAATCATTTGTCCAGGATGATATAAGGACTCTGGCCTTGAGCAGGGGGTGGACTAGAAGACCTCCGAGGTCCCTTTCAGTCCTAAGATTCTATGCTTCTACAGTGGTGCTGAAAAAAGTGACTTATGACCATTTTGTTACACTTATGACCATTGCAGCATCCCCATGGTTATGTGCTCAAACTTCAGATGCTTGGCAACTGGCTCATATTTACGACGGTTGCAATGTTCCTGGGATGGTGTGATCACCTTTTGTGACCTTCTGACAAGCAAGGTCAGTGGGTAAGCCAGATTCACTTAACAACCGTTTTTATTAACTTAAGAACTGCAATGATTCGCTTAACAACTGTAGCAAAAAAAATTGGATTAAAAATGGGGCAAAACTCACTTAACACCTGTGTGGCTTAGCAACCATAATTTCAGGCTCAGTTGTGAGCATAAGGTACTATTTGTATATGGCCTCATAGTCTATATGTCTGGTTTACAATAAATCATTGAATAGAACAGCAAGTTTAAAAAGAATCCTTACCATGCTGGCAGACTAACCTGTGCCCATGTCATAATCCAGAATGGAGCCTGATTCAAAGCTAATTATTTTCGTAGGTAACCCCAGAGTGCAGTTGTTTTTAATTCATTATGAAGAATTCCAGATGACAAGCTCTGTTTCCCAAGGTTTTTCTTATTGGTAAGAAATCTAAACTTTTACAGCCTTAAAGGACCTCAATAGAACGTTAGCCTCTGCGTCATTGCTTCCTCGCCAAAGGAGAGAATAACAATAAAAATGAAATCACACCAGGGAATTTTAAAAAAATCAAATGAAACATAACTTAATACTCCTTCCTCCTCCTATTTTCTCCACAACAACAATTCTGTGAGGTGGCTTGAGCTGAAAAAGAGTGACTGGCCCAAAGTCACCCAGTCAGCTTTCATGCCTAAAATGGAACTAGAACTCACAAGGCCAGCCCCTTAACCACGACAGTAATTTTGAAAGCCTGTTTAAGTTCCTCTCCGCTCCATCTTATATTAAACAAAATTAAGTGGTTTAGGATTTCTTTTTCATGCTTCCTTCGTTCTCTCTCTCTCTCCCTCTTTTTTTCCAAACACGCTTCCCTTCCCCCTTTACGTTCCTTTGCAAATATAGAGGTGTATATTTTTGGGGTGGGCGGGCTGTTTTTCTTATTTGTCAATCTACCTGCATTGTCTTAGCAATTTTGGGGATGGAGACAAGACCAGCCCAGCTTGGCTAAACCATAACTTTCACTCTTGATGGAGAAACAACAATCCAACAAGGTTGTGCAAGAAGGACCAATGAGAGGCCTGAAATAGCATCTATGGTGTAATGAATAACAAGACAGGGGGGTGTGTGGATAGGAAAAACCAGAACTTGGAGGTTTCGGAGACCCATAACCAAGGCAATTTTAGTTTCACAGGGGAAAAAGAAACCCTGCCCAGCTTCTTAATCAGCAAGCAGAGACAGGGACAGGAAGTGGTCAAATTAGTTTCCCATCCATTCAGAGGAAGAGGGTATAAAATAGCTACTACAGTCTGTAAAAACACTCTGGTACTACACTCCGTGCAAACTATACACGGGTTGTCTTCTCCTCGGCTTGTCTGTGTGAATAAACTGCTGCTGTGCTGGACCAGGAAGTAGCCGTGATGTTCCAGAGAAAACGAAGTGTCTCCTTTGGAGGTTATGGATGGTGGGTTCCTTCCCTTCCCTCCTCTCCTCTCCCCTCCCCTCCCCTCCGGTCTTTATTACTTTATAAGTAACTTAAGGTAGTGAGCATACATAGTATTCCTTGCTCTCCTTTTTCTCACAACAACAGCCCTGTGAGGTGGGTTGCACTGAAAGCTAATGATTGGCCCAAAGTCACCCAGCTGGCTTTCATGCCTAAAGTGGGACTAGAACTCAGAGCTTCCTGGTTTCTCGGCCAGCATCTTAAGCACAACATCAAACTGGTGCCCCTTTCCTTTCTCTTCCTTCTCCCCATTTCTCCAGGAGTTGAAGGGACCTGATATTGTGCCGCTGCCCCCGCCCCTTCATTTTCTATTCCAAACTACAGCCCTACGAGTTTAATTGAGCTGAAAGAGAAGAACTGGTCTAAATCCATTGAAGGCTTGTCTGTGGCTGAGGGTAGATTTGAACCTGGTACTCCCACTCTTAATGCAGCCTTTCTTCACTAAACTCCACTGGCTTTCTATGGAGAGTAAAGGTTTGGGACAAGGAAACTTCTTGCTTAGTCTTTCTTCGCCTAATTCCCCAAAGATCTTGCAGTGAAGTCCTCTCGGGCCATTTCCCTTTAAGTGACTTGATGCAGGGTCTTTATAACACCTTGAGGACTAGACACTTGAAACAAAAAATGTCAAATGGATTGGCTAGGAAGCAGAGCCTTCTCAAGAGTGACCCCACAATGCTAGATTTACACCCTCAGGCTTATCTGTTTGTCTCCAGCGAACTGGGTTAGAAAAACTACCTTGGATTTTGAGTGCTTTGAAATCAGAAAATGATTTGAAATCAGAACTCTTTTCTTATTTTTTTTTTTACTTTAAGAACTTTGCTATTTGTCCAAGTCCCTCCAGGTTTTATATGACTTGGCTGAAAGGACAGTTTTTCTCAGAACGCCATCACTTTCCTAAAAAATTATTCCCTCAACACTGTCCAACTATTTACAAAGTCTGCATTACTATTACTATTAATCTTATCACTTTTTAACCATCCATCCCCTCCCACTTGTGATTGTAGGACTGTAACTTTGTCACTTGTATCCTTACGATCTATATTGACTATTTCCTAGTATGATTTGATTGCTTATTGTACCCTATGACTATTATTAAGTGTTGTACCTTATGATTCTTGACTTTTGACGAATGTATATTTTCTTTTATGTACACTGAGAGCATTTGCACCAAGACAAATTCCTTGTGTGTCCAATCACACTTGGCCAATAAAGAATTTCTATTCTATTCTATTCTATTCTATTCTATTCTATTCTATTCTATTCTATTCTATTCTATTCTATTCCATTCCATTCCATTCCATTCCATTCCATTCCATTCCACTCCACTCCACTCCATTCCATTCCATTCCATTCTATTCTAATTCTATTCTAATTCTACTCTACTCTATTCTTAAATGTTTTAAATGGCCCGTTGAAAAGATCTGCCTTTTTGCCAAAATAGTACATTGCTGAATTTGAGGTTAGATGTTTTGTAACACTGGGCAATGCTTTGGATTCAGGTGAACAAAGGTACAATGGAGAAGGTGACGATGCAAACATCTGCAACTCAAAGTGGCTGAATTTTTTGGGGTGGGGGGAAGGGGTTGCATGGCTGCCCTGGATGCTGCAGCCCCATCCTGAGCAGAGTTGCATGGGGTCAGTGCATCAGGCACTGATAAAAAATGGGGAGCATAAATATTTAAAACTACAAAAAGCATCCTTTGCAATGCTTGTTTGGATCAAAGGTCCCCTTGTCAGCAAAAAGAGCCTCTCCGGATTCTTTCCAGAGATTTTTTAAAAAAAGAGATTGGACAGCTGTTTGTCCAGAATTGTATGTGGTTTCTTGCCCAAGCAGGGGGATAAATTAGAAGACTTCCAAGGTCCCTTCCAACTCTGTAACAGGTAGTCCTCGAATTACGACCCAAATCGAGCCCAACATTTCTTGTTGCTCAGCGAGATATCGGTGAAGTGAGTTTTGCCCCATTTTCCAGCCTTTCTTGCCACAGTTGTTAAGTGAATCACTGCAGTCGTTAAGTTAGTAACCCGGTTGTTAAATGAATCAGGCTTCTCCATTGACGTTGCTCGTCAGAAGGTCGCTAACCCATGACCCTGCGACACGCTGCAACCATCATAAGTACGAGTCAGTTGGCCAAGCCTCTGAATTTTGATTGCAGTGTTCTTGGGGATTCTGCAAGGAACATAAATTGTGAAAAACGGTCACTTTTACCAGTGCCATCATGGTAACTTTTGCACAGTCACTAAATGAACGGCCATGAGTCGAGGACTGCCTGTATTCTGTCATTCTTGTTTCTTGAAGCTCAGATCTGTGACTCAGCAGTTGGTCTGGGAGGGTACCCACTGCCTTGTTTGCTGACTAGTTGTGTTAAAGCATATTTGTGTGTGTTAGCTAGAAGGCGCTGAGTTGTGTGACAGCTCTTTTATCTCAGCCATCTGGCCACAAACATTTTTTTCTCAGGGTGGGGCTGCCTGACCTCATCCGATGCTTACCACGTTCCACGGGCACATTTAACCAATATCAGATGCATGATTGTTTTGCACGGCTGAAATGTTTTCACAAGGGTCACTTCGTCTTTCCTTCTGATGGTTGTCCCAGAAGGACAATCCCAAAGGTGTTTTTTTTTTTCAACTGGACTTTCTGTTTTTTTCCATTCCCCACCATCTAGTCAGAGCTGAAGAAGCTTCTTGGGTGAGAAGCAAAATGTCTTCAAAGAAAAACCAGTCCGGTTGCCTCTTGAAAAAAAAAAAAAAAGCACTTTTGGGACAACCATGTCTTGGATGACTGAGGATCTCCATAGACCTGAAGGACAATATTTCTCTGCTCTGGGACATAGAATCATAGGGTTGGGAGGGACCTCGAGGTCTTCTAGTCCAACCCCCTGCTCAAGGCAGGAGACTTATGCCATCCAAGTCAAGTGGTTGTCCAGTCTATAAAATGTCCGGTGATGGAGCACCCACAACCCCAGGAGCAAGTTGTTCCATTGATTAATTGTTCTTACTGTCAGGGAATTCTCTACTCCTCTACTCGTAGCAGAATACCTTATGCCACCAGACTTGAAATTTTAGACCTAGACAACCTAGAACTACGCCACCTTCGGTCCAATCTAAGTATAGTACATAAAATTATCTACTGCAATGTCCTACCTGTCAATGAATACTTCAGCTTCAACCATAACAATACAAGATCAAACAATAGATACAAACTCAAGGTAAGCCGCACCAAACTTGATTGCAGAAAATACAACTTCAGAAACAGAGTGGTCAATGTCTGGAATACTCTACCTGACCCTGTGGTTTCTTCCCCAAACCCCCAAAACTTTAACCTTAGACTGTCTACTATTGACCTCACCTCTTTCCTAAGAGGTCTGTAGGGGACGTGCATAAGCGCACCAACGTGTCTACCATCCCTGTCCTGTTATTTCTTTTTTATCCATATCCATTTCATGTATTCATGACCATGTTTATACTTATACCTGTTATCTAATACTTGCTTGACAAATAAATAAATAATAAGTAATAATAATTCCTCCTTACTTCCAGGCTGAATTTCTCTTTAGTGACTATGGAGATTCTGAGTTATCCAGACAGGTCATGGCTGTCCCAGAGGTGCTTTTTCAAGAGGCAACTGGACTTTTCTGTTTTTTCTTTGAAGACGTTTTGCTTCTCATCCAAGAAGCTTCTTCAGCTCTGACTGGATGGTGGGGAATGGAAGGATTTATACTCCTTGCAGACAGCTGGTCATTATTTTGCATTCTTTTAGAGAGTCCTTGAATCAGAGCTGAAGAAGCTTCTTGGATGAGTTGTCTCTTGAGGAAAAACCACCTTTGGGACAACCATGACCTGGATGAATAAGAATCTCCATAGACGATTATCTGTATGGGATACACCTATAATATCCCAAGATGTATGTAGATGTTCCTATGTCTAGAAACAGTATGATGTCAGACTGGATTTTGGAAAGACACATGTTATTTTATCTCTTTTACAATGGAAAAGAGCTAGCCGCATTTAGCAACTTCATACTTATACTCAGGGAGTCATACAACTGCCTTAAATTTCTGCCATGCTGCCACCTCTTCCTCCTCATCTACCCAATTGGATTTATATTTTTTTGAAGGTGCAAAATAGGGGAGGGAGTCACTTTCCATTTCTAGTCTGCTAATTTTTTAAAAAAGGGTTAAGGATGGAATAACTGAAGGCCGCTTGCTGATAATTACCCGCAAGATCGTTTTAAGTGGTTCTGGAAACATCTGCATCCTTTCTGATAGAGATATTTAAGAAATGTACATTCTTTTCTTTCATGTTTCTTTCTCTCCCTAGTTCACTCGCCTTTTATCTGTTTTTTTTGAGCGAGCTGCCTTTGATGAATGCTATTGATGTTTAATAAATATGCATCAATCAGTCCCTTTTGCCACAAGAACTGAGTGATGTGTTAGGTTGGTCTACCCTGGATATGGGGAATGACTGGGATGTGCAAGGTCTGGAGACAAGCCATTCCACTGGTTAATCGTTCTAACTGTCGGGAAATTTCGCTTTAGTTCTAGGTTGCTTCTCTCCTTGATTAGTTTCCATCCATTGCTTCTTGTCCTGCCGTCAGGTGCTGTGGAGAATAGTTTGACTCCCTCTTCTTTGTGGTAACCACTGAGTTATTGCAACACTGCTATCAGGTCTCCCCTAGACCTTCTGTTCATTAAACTAGACACACCCAATTCCAGCAACCGTTCTTCATATGTTTTAGCCTCCAGTCCCCTAATCATCTTTGTCGCTCTTCTCTGCACTCTTTCTAGAGTCTCAACATCTATTTTACATTGGGGTGACCCAAACTAGATGTGGTAGTACAAAATGAGCCTGAGCCATGTTGAGTTATTTTTTGATCCTGGTTAGTAGATTTCCAGGTTCAGCAAAACAAACATGTGAATAGTTATTCTGTGGTCTTGCTATTCTGGGAATTGTTCTTCTAGCTTGGTACACAAACAGGTCATCCAATGAGGTTAACACAGTTTCTTTAGAATGTTATATGAATAGCAATTTCTTAACCCCGATTTACATTAAAATGTGTTACAGGTAGTCCTCTATTTATGGCCACAATCGAGCCCAAAATTTCCGTTGCTAAGCAAGACAGTTGTTCTGCGAGTTTTGTCCTGTTTCACTACAGTACCTTGCCACAGTTGTTAAATGAATCATTGCATTTATTAAGTTAGTAACATGGTTGTTAAGTGAATCTCGCTTCCCCATTGACTTTGCTCATCGGAAGGTCACAAAAGGGAATTTTGATATGTGACCACGGATCTGCTGTAATGGTTGTAAGTGTGAAAAATGGTCGTAATTCACTTTTTCCAGCACCATTGTAACTTTGAACGGTCACTGAACAAACTGTTGTAAGTCGAGGACTACCTGAAAATAAATCTAGCCAGTGAGTTCAAAGACGATCCCCTTGTTAGCCTGATGTTGGAATTGATTCTAGTCAGTGTTGACTTCTTGTGATCCTGAGATAAATATTTTCCCTGGCAACCGATCCCCAACCTGGTCTTTCAGGTCTTCTAAACGGTGGTAGGATTCACATTTTTTTTTACTACCGGTTCTGTTGGCGTGGCTTGGTGAGTGTGGTGTGACTTGGTGGCTGTGGCTTGGTGGGCGTGGCCGTGGAAGGACACTGTAAAATCTCCAGTCAGACGTGGCATTTGCTGGTTCTCAGAACTACTCAAAATTTCTACTACCAGTTCTCCAGAACTGGTCAGAACTTGCTGAGTACCAACCTCTGCCACTAACCTGCTTTCCAGCACCGTTCTCCTGTGCAGGGCAACAAACGAAGACCCAGCCAATCAGCTGGGACTCAATGGGAGGCAGAGAAGAGATGGGGGCGGGAACAGTCAGAGGTGGTATTGGCCAGTTCTCTGAACTACTAAAATTTTCCGCTACTAGTTCTCCAGAACTGAATACCACCTTGCTTCTAATATAGACTTCCCCAAATCTTCTGGCTTTGCAGCTTGGCAGGAGGGAGAGGAAAGAGGCGGTGGTTTGGCATGAGCAGCGTGTAAGTAAGTGGGTGTAGCTCCATTTGTGTGCTGCTTACCGACGTGCAATTGCTCACCACTTCTGTGGCCTGAATCTGAACAGCTCAAGGCCCGGCAGTGGTCCAGGTTGGGGGACCCTTGTCCTAAGGGTCCATCCATTGCCACTGTTACTTGAGTCCATGCCCTTTGAAACTGCTAGTCGTTTCTTCTTTTCTTTTCCTTCCCCCTTTCCTAGCAATTTAGACTTATCCTGACATTTATTCCCAATGATCAGATTTAATATTAGAGGCTGACTAGGACTTTTATTCGTCCTGGAAAATAAGGAGCACCAAACACTTCTCTTTAAACCATGCTTTCATTCAATTCACAATTCTGATTTTCAGAACGGTGTCCACGCAGAGCAGTCACAGGACGGTTGAGTTGCATTGTGTGGCTCACAACACACACTTGCTGAGCTATGTACCGTGTCTGGCCAGGAAAGGTCATTGGCCAGGAGTCTTGATGTCAAACCAGCCCCGTGCTTTTCATATGCCCAATCGAAGTGAAACTTTGGTTTCCTTAGAACACTTTGTTCTCTAGGTTGAAAACACACACACACACACACACATACACACACACAGATGTGAAAACAGCACTAGACCATTTTGTGCAATTGTGGCAACCTGTATAATTCTATGCTTTTTCAAGAGGCAACTGGACTTTCTTTGTTTTTCCTTAAAGATGTTTCCCTTCTCATCCAAAAAGCATCTTCAGTTCTGAACTGAAGAAGAATCCGAACTGAGGAAGCTTCTTGGATGAGAAGTGAAACCTCTTCAAACAAAGACAAAGAAAGCCCAGTTGCCTCTTGAGAAAGCACCTTTGGGACAACCATGATTGAGAATAGACATCCGTACACATCCGTATAATTTTACTGTAGTGAAACCTGGGTTGCTTTTGGGCAGTATTTCAAACCAGGTTTCCCTCAGTAAACTATCACTTTGCATTGATTTAAAGCTATGAACAGATAGTCCTTCACTTACGAGTGAAATTGAACCTGGCAATTTTGGTTGTAAATCATTATGGTTGTAAAGCGGGATTTTTTGTAGAAATTGTTTAAATGAACGCAATTGTTTTCTATAGGGACCCATTTTTGCCAGAAACTGGGAGTAAATACTGGATTCCAGCAAAAAATGTACATTGCAGTTGCATGACTGTGGGTCAGTGCAAATGAATGTAAATGCAGGTTGGTTGCTGAGCACTCAAAATGTGGACATACAGCATGAATGTGGTAGTACGGGCAGCCAGTACAACTTCAGAAGCTGCTTGTAAATAAACTTCATTAAATCAGACCAGAGCTGGAAGAAGCATTGGAGGTCTTCCAGTCGAGACCCTGTACCATTTCAGACTGGTCCAATCTTTTCTTAAACACCTCCAGTGATGGAGCACCCACAACTTCTGGTGGCAAGCTGTTCCACTGGTTAATTGTCCTCACTGTTCGGAAGTTTCTCCTTAATTCCAGGTTGCTTCTCTCCTTGATTAGTTTCCATCTATTGTTTTCTTGTCCTGCCTTCTGGTGCATTGGAAAAATAAGTTGACCCCCTCTTCTTTATGACAGCTTCTAAAATACTGGAATACTGCTCCCATCTTGGACATAAATTGTTTCAACTTCTACCCTCAAAACACCGCTATAGGGCACTGCACACCAGAGCAACTAGACACAAGGACAGTTTTTCCCCAAATGTCACCACTCTGCTAAACAACTAATTCCCACAACACTGTCAAACTACTTAGTAAGACTGTATTACTATTCTTCTTCTCATCTTTCCTATTACCTATCTTCCCGCTCAATGACGATAACCGTGTTGCTCATATCTTTACAATTTATATTGCTTTATTTGTTTCCTAGTATGATTTGATTACTTATTGTACCCTATAACTATTGTTAAGTGTTGTACCTTATGATTCTTGACGAATGTATCTTTTCTTTTATGTACATTGAGAGCATTTGCACCAAGACAAATTCTTTGTGTGTCCAATCACACTTGGCCAACAAAGAATTATGTTCTGTTCTGTTCTGTTCTGTTCTGTTCTGTTCTGTTCCGTTCCGTTCCACTCCACTCCACTCCACTCCACTCCACTCCACTCCACCCCACCCCACTCTTTTGATCTCTAGAATAGCCAAACTCAAATCCTGCAACCATTCTTCATATATTTTGGTCTCCAGGGCTTTAATGAATCTTAGTTGCTCTTCTTTGCACTGTGTACCACACCCTTAAGGTATTGACACCTTTTTTGTAGGGGGAGTTCTAATATAACTTTGAATGTCTGGTAAATGACCAGTCATAAGTTGAGGACTACATGTATCTGGTTTGCAGCCACCCAATAGGAATTATCAACTAAAAGCTGGAAGGTTCTGTATGGGCTTTCTCCCCTATAATCTGCGAATTACTCATCAGAGCCCGGTGTGTGCAGCCTGATCTGTGATACTGTGCTACAGGTGATGGTAAAACAGATGGAGCTCTTTTCTTTGCAGATTAAAAAGAAAAGGCTATGGAGTGGCAGCTGTTGAATCTTTCATTGCAGGAGAGAACAGGCTGATTCAGAAGGTGCAGGCTGAACAAAAAACATGTCCTTCGCATTACGAGTTCCTTGTTATTTAAGGTGCAAAAGTGAAAAATTGGAAGCGTCTTACCAAATGCCAGCTTACATTGAAGCCTATCTAATTGCTGAATTTGGTTTAATTTATACCGATTTATAATTGGCTGCCTTGGGTGGGTGGGAACCCAGCTTTGGCACATTAAAAAAAAAAGGATTGTTTCCTTGCTTGCTGTTTGTGGCTCTTGGCACGATGTACATGGAGGGTTTGAAATGCTTTTTTTTGTGTGTCTGTGTGTGCTCTGGAGTCAGTGTTTGTCTGAAATGGAACAGGGTCTCCTGCTTGAGCAAGGGGTTGGACTAGAAGACCTCCAAGGTCCCGCCTTCCAACTCTTGTTATTCTGTTGTTGACTCCTGGTGACACATGCCCCTGCATTTTTTTTTTTTCATGGCAAGATTTTGCAAGTTTGAGAGATTTTGGACCCGCCCAGTCATTTTGTAGAGTGGGAAGGATGGCATATAAATTTATTAAGTAAATAAGTTTGCAAAATGCCTGCTTCCTATGGGTTAAGAGCGGTGGCGGCGTGGTGGCTAGAATGTAGTACTGTAGGCTGGGGGTCTCCAACCTTAGCAACTTTAAGACTTGTGGACTTCAACTCCCAGAATTCCTTAGTCAGTCTATTCCAAATATTAGCCTCTACCTAGGATTGAACTCACAGCCTCCTGATTGTGAGGCGAGAGCTCCAGAACTAACAGAAAAATTAGGAATCCAAATAATCTCCTTGACATTCTTTTCTCTCTCTCTCTTTTTTTTTTCAGGATTGACAAAGCCATGCTTGCTGGTCTGAAGATAAAGTAAGTCATTGATTCTTGAAATCTTATTATTTTTCAAAAAAAAATATTGGCCTTATTGGCTTGCTTCTGCAGTTGTTTGCTACATACACATACATACAGCTGTTCAATGGGGTTGACCATTTCCTACAACCCTTTGCAAAACTTTTACCAGCCCAGATAATACAGGTAGTCCTCAACTTACAACAGTTCATTTAGCGACTTTTTGACTTACAATGACACTGAAAAAAGTGACTTATGACTGCTTTACACAGTTACAAGCATCCTCATGGTCACCTGATCAAAATTCGGCAGCTGACTCACGTTTATGACGGTTACAGTGTCCTGGAGTCACCTGATTAGCTTTTGTAACCTTCTGACAAGCAAAGTCAATGTGGAAGCCAGATTTACTTAGCAACCTTGTTACTAGCGTAATTTTGCAGTGATTCACTTAACAATTGTGGCAGGAAAGGTCGTAAAATGGGGGCAAAATTCATTTAACTGTCTCACTTAGCAAGATAAATTTTGGGCTCATAAGTAGAGGACTACCTGCACTATGTTTGCTAATGCTCTCCTTTGCTTTGGATGTCACGGACTCTTCTCACATGGAGATGGAACTGAGCATGAACCTCAAATGGTTGTGTCATTTCAAGTGGGAAGAAGTTTCTCTGCTCAAAATTTTCCTCCGTGTAAAAAGCTAGCCTATCAGGGAGGTGATTATCCGAGCCTTTTGCCTCTGAAGAGACGAGATTTCTATGTAAAGAGGCTCTTTTTTCATGAGAAGGAATATTCCATTTTTGCAAACCTCTCATCCTCAGTCTGCTGTGGCACAGCAATTAGTTGCCACAATGAGGTGTTGGAAAGCGACAAATGCTGCGTGTGATTGATTGCCTGGAAAGAAAGCACAGGAGAATCACTCATGAAAATATAATTCAGCAAGCTTTGTAATTGACAAAATATTAACTTTTGTTTAGGTTGCATCTGGGCTTCTGTAAAATTAAATTAAGCAAGCTTTACAAACTGGGGGAAACCAGTGAAATCCATTTCAAGGCTTTGGGAAGCCGTTGCAATTTTCCTGCAGGTTTCTGAAGGGGAAAATATTCTGAAGGGGAAAATATTTGCTAAGTCAGAGATTACGATACTTCTTTCTCGTGTGTGTGTGTGTCTGTGTGTCTCTCTCTCTGTGTGTGTCTGAGTCTGTATGACTCTATGTGGGTGGCTTAAAGTTTGTTCAGCATTTGAAGGTGGGAGATAATGTTTCAGAACAAGCCATCTTGAATTTAGAGAGCCTTATTTCTAAGAAAATCTGCAGCACCTTTTGGAAGTCGAGCCGATGGCAATTCATAACATTTTCTCATAGTCCTAACTCCACTGTCTCCCTAAGGCAGGGATGTCCAACCTAGGCAACTTCAAGACTTCTGGACTTCAATTCCCAGCCAGACATCCTATAGTTTTAATTTTAATGCATGGTCTCACCACTGCATAATAGCAATGATAGAGTTGGAAGGATTCCTTGAGGTGTCTGGAGGTGTGCACAATCCTGCCAGGAAATCTGTTATTCGTCTCTTCAGGCTTGGTGTGCTTCCGTATTTCAAAATCAATCAAAACAGAGCTGGAAGGGACCTTGAGGTCTTCTAGTCCACCCCCCACCCCACCCCCGCTTAAGCAGAAGCCTCTATACCATTTCAGACAGATGGCTGTCCAGTCTCTTCTTAAAGAACTCCAGTGATGAAGCACCCATAACTTCTGGTGGCAAGCTGTTCCACTGGTTAATTGTTCTCACTGTTAGGAAGTTTCTACTTAATTCCAGGTTGCTTCTCTCCTTGATTAGTTTCCACCCATTGTTTCTTGTCCTGCCTTTGGGTGCTTTGGAAAATAAACTGACCTCCTATTTTTTTGTGGCAGCCCCTCAAATATCAGAATACTGCTATCATGTCACCCCTAGTTCTTCTTTTCTTTAGACTGGCCAAATTTAAATCCTGCAATCATTCTTCCTATATTTTAGACTCCGGGCCTTCAATCCTCTTAGTTGCTCTTCTTTGCACTTTTTCTGACATCTTTTTTGTAAGGTGTTGACCAAAACTAGATGCAATAGTCCCGGTTTGTTCTTACCAAGGTTTTATAAAGTGGTACTAATACTTTCTGTGATGTTGATTCTATGGCTCTGTTTATGCAACCGAGGATTGTATTTGCAAAAAGAGAAACCCAGGTCGGTGATACAAAGTTCCTCCTTACATGTATGGAAGTGTAGAGCAGGTCAGCTTTACGACTTGTGGACTTCAATTCCCAGGATTCCTGAGCCGGCAACTCTGCTGCAGGAAGGTTGTTTTTCGCCAACGGTGGTTAATGTCCAGCCATCTGCTCCCAAGAACTTCCATCCCCTCTCCTATCAGCCTTCCAAGAACAATTATCTGTCCTTCCTGTGGTGGCTTATTCCCTCGCGCAGCTGATGCAGATCCTAAGCCAAGCTTTTCTGAGCCTTGTGGGATTCCTGCATTAAAAATGGTTACTGCCGCATCCCTCGCATTGTCAGTTGACGTGTCAAGAGAGCGAAAGCAATAATGTTCCTAGCTCCGGGCTAAAGTACCTTATCTTCTCTCTCTATCTTTTTATTGTTATATTATCTTATTCTCCCAGGCAGCTTGGATTTGAAAACAATTTCCATCGGTCGTTTTATGAAAGTGATTTTTTTTGGGGGGGTTGGCTCCACTGTGAAAAGGATGCTTGTCCTTTTCACCAGGGTGGGAAGGATTTTGGAGCAGCTGCGCTAGCACAGGCACATCCGGGATGGCGGATGGGTACGTGGGTTGAGGGTCAAAAAAGCAATGTTGCCATCGGGCCATCATCACCCATGTTGCACAGCAGCACGTTGGTTGCATCATCACTTTACAGTCATCTTTGTTTTGGAGACCCTTCCTGAAAATATCCCTCTGTCCAAGACCTTACCCATCAGAATGAGTCAGCGGATGGAAGAACAAATTTAGTTGAAATATGTAAGAAGTAGTACATTGTGTGCCTCGGTAGGATCTAGCTGACTTTACACAACACAGAATAATAGAGTTGGAAGGGACCTTGGAGGTCTTCTAGTCCAATTCCCTGTCCAAGCAGGAGACCTTATACCATTTCAAATAAAATGGATGTCCAATCTCTGTTTAAAAATCTGCCGTGAAGGAGCACCTTCCACTTCTGGAGACTAATCCATTCCACTGTGTCAATGAAGATTCAATCATCCAGGCCAAAGATGTTTAAAGGTTGAATTATGGCAACTGGACCATCCTTTGTTGATCTGAGATATTTCATTGCTCACCCAAGCAATGTCATATGTTTAAAGGTTGAATTATGGCAACTGGACCATCCTTTGTTGATCTGAGATATTTCATCGCTCACCCAAGCAACGTCGTCAGTCAGAGTAAAATCAGTTAGGCAGAGATTCAGGGAGACATTAGAATATACCTGCAAGGTTGAAGGTGTGCTTATGCTGTTGCAACTGTTATCGCTTCTCAGCTTGCCAACAAACTGGTAGTGGTGGGGAGGATAATGTAGGCTCTAGATAACAAGGGTGAGGAATGGAATATAAATATAAATGGAATATAAATAGCACTTAGACTTATATACAGTGCTTTAAATGGTTTACAGAGTCAGACTATTTCCCACAATCTGGATCCTCATTTTACCGACCTCGGAAGGATGGAAGGCTGAGTCAACCTTGAGCCTGGTGGGATTTGAACTGCCAAATTGCAGGCAGCCAGCAGTCAGCAGAAGTAGCCTGCAGTACCACATTCTAACCACTGCTCCACTACAGCTCTCATTCCCAACCATCCAGTCAGAGCTGAAGAAGCTTCTTGGATGAGAAGCGAAACATCTTCAAAGGAAGACGAGAAAGTCCAGTTGCCCCTTGAAAAAGAAAAAAAACAAAAACCTTTGGGATTATAGAGTTGAAAGGGATCTTGGAGGTCTTGTAGTCCCAGCCCCACCTGTTCAAGCAGGAGTCCCTATACCAGGGGTGTCAAACCCGCGTTGTCGCGGTGTTGTCATGTGATGTACCACAACTTTTTTCCCCTTCGCAAAAAAGGGCGTGGGCATGGTCAGTGCGTGACACATCCGGCCTGCGAATCATGAGTTTGACACCTCTTCCCTATAGCATTCCAGACAAGTGGCTGTCCAGTCCCTTCCTTCCCTGATACTTTCCGATCCATGCTGGCTGGAGACATTGAAGTCCACACACCTTGGAGTTTCTGAGAGCCACTGGTATTTAGAGTGCATGTTTTTCCTGTCACACGTTGAGAAACGCTGTATGGCAAGAAGGCGCTCCTGCCTTAATTCAAATTGAAGGGAGATGATCTCCTTCCGAGGTAGCTGAGTAATCACAAGCATGTTTAATCAGTCAACGATCATCATAACACTACGCTGTTTTAATTAGAAATCAGAAGGACGATCTGCAAGAGAGAAGGAAGCAAACCAAGCCAGGTAGGAGGTGAAATAAAAAGTTGATGGCACAAGTATTAGAAGTAAATGCCTGTTGTTGTTCTCCTTCAGCCAGAAAGAGGGAAAAAATGAAAGAAAGAAAATCGGAGATGAAGACAAGGCACCACAGTAATAATAAGGCGAACGGCACTCATCCTTAAAAGAAATTAGATTTTTCTCCCCTTCCTCACCTCTTGTGACAGTCACTCTCCTGATGCTGAGATAACGTAGCAACCAGCACAGTACCGTAGAGACCCTTAAAATTGATTCTGCTGTATTGTTTACTTTTCCTGACTCTGGAAAAAAAAAATCTGCAACCAACTGCCCTTTTGCTAAGTTAGAGATTGCTTCTTTCTCATGGTGTGTGTTTGTGTGTGTGTGTGTGTGAGAGAGAGAGAGAGCGACTGTGTGGGTGGACGTTGCCCTCCAAATTTCTTCACCATTTGGAAGTGGGAGGCAATGTTTTGCAGAATAAGCCTTCATGAATTTTGGGAGGCCTAAGGAAATCTACAGCACCCTTTGTGAGCCGACTGAAGGAGGTTTTCTTAGGGCCCCAAGTC